ATACTGACAGCTCATTTACTCCACCAGGAACACAAACAACAATCCGGCCACCAGTACTGAATTGTAACTCGCCCAATATTATATACCTCATATACTGCAACAAATGCAACGAGGGAAACTATGTTGGCGAATTGAACAACCACAAATCATCTATAAGACACAAACTCAACTGCCCAGTAAGTGTACATTTTAATTCACCTAATCACACCATCAATGACTTTAGGGCTATAATAACCAGCCTCAGCGAGGCTGGTAAAGATTACCGAGACGTTCCGAGATTTTACAAGGATATTACACGGAGGTACTTTCACACGTGCCGTAAAATGTTACTTTTGGTTACATTTTGTTACATTTGGTAAGATTTTTGTACGTGTGAATCGGGTATAAGGGTCTAAATAAGGACTTAGGCTCTACATGTGATTATGCCTTCATACGCAATATTTCTCTATGAATACAGTATCTAACTATATATGCTATATATTATTTTTACTTATGTACATTTGTTTATATTCATTGATTTCTAAGCTGTATTTTATTTGTCATTATGACATCATGCGTTATATTATTTAAACTCATATATATACCTTATATTTCTGCTATTTATTTTCTATTCCACAATTGTTTTAATTATATAGGACTTTATCAATCTTACTATGTTTTATTTCCTGTTATTGTTTACTGTAGTTAAATAAGTCTTAACATTAAGCTGGTTCAATGGCACCGCCAATAAACTATCGCTAACATAATCATTTTGCCGACATCTTATCATGGTTTAATTGTACAGTAATTAATTCGCCCATTAACTTGTCACTGAACTTATATTTTGTGGTCCAATCAACTAATTGTATTGATAACTTGATTCTGATTGGTTTATTATGCTTTATGTATATGTAAGATCTCCCAAGTTTTCTCACTTTAACGTTGATGAAGATAGCAGGAGCTATCGAAATATCCGTTTGAGCTTATTAATTTGTGTTCCGCAAGTCAACTTTCAATAATTGTACACCGTTTTTTCATTGCTTTTGCATTTTATTTTACTTGGAGCATACATACAAACCCACTCTTCAATATATATATTTACTTCCTTTATTCGGCTCTTAAGGGGAAACTCTTTTGCCTATGATTTTTATCGTCGTTTTAGTTTCCCCTTAGCAATACTACTTTCTCCTTAAGGTACTGTTTTTAACCCTCTTCATTGTTTTAGTATCCCCCTATGGATACTTCTAAGCTCCTATATATATATTTTATATATACTGTACATAAAATACATAATACTTACACAAGGAGCCTATATATAGCCTAGTATATAAAGTAGTCCTGTGGACGAGACGGAAGTACGTTTTAAAGCCTTAATTCCGTAACTCTCTTTAAAACACGTAGCCTCTCTCCCACTAGGGGTTTTTTCAGCATACGAGTTACAAGAGAATGCCGAGTTGCTAACTCGGCAAAAACTCGTAGGACGATTCGGAAAGCTC